AATCGTTTTCTTGCCCATATCTTCTTCACTTCCATCTAAGAAACATATGTCGAAGCACGGCAGAGTGTACAGTGAATATCAGCTGGACATTGGAGCAGGAGCTTTCAAGCGAGCTCTCGTGATTCATCGGAATGCAGTGACCACCGCTGTGAAAAGAAATTCCAGGACAAGTGAACGTAGTGGGAAGGAGAAGGCAGAGATGTTGAAGGAAGATTTGGAGAGAAATGTGACGTTGTGTCTCCACAACAGCTTCTGCAGGAACAGAGAATCTAACGTGGATCCCCTACCTTGTTGCAAACAGAGGGTAGAAGATCAGAAGTGTTGGAGGACTGTTTCCAACAGCGTCAGGATCGCTAATGATGTGTTGCAAGACACAGAAACTGAAAGTGCAGAGTCAGTATCACAAGAGGAAGGGATGGAACCTTGACGAATGGCCGAAAAACGAGATGCAAAAAGAGACGAAATTAGAAGAATTTAGAAGTTTTAGAACTTCTAAACGACGAAAAAAGAAGAAAACAAAGGAGTGATGGAGAAAAACTTAAAACTCAGAATTGTTCTATGTGTGTGAAAAAACTCAAGTGAGAAACTAAGCAACCAAGTTGTAATTGAAAACTGAAACATTTAATTGAGTTTTGAACATTAAAGAATTTGTTGCATTTATAAATTTGCATTTTGATTTTAGCTGAGTGGCTTTAGAGACACTTATTATTTATTTAGAAAAATTGAGTGAAGAGTATATTTAAATATTCCAGCCTGCATGACTGTTTTTAATCAACTAGGGGAACTGATCACTTTGTGATGATAAGAAAAGCTTGGGTAATCTTTCGAAGAGGGAGATTGTTTCATTGTTCTTTCTAACCACAGAGTTCCTTAATTTTAATATTCAGGACAATAACAACTAAAACTTCCGAAGGGAAGAAGCATAGTAGGATAATTTTAGTTTGTTGGTTGGCAGGACTGTCCTGCAAACCAACACCTTTTAAATCAAGGAGAAAAAGTTTTTAATCAGGACATTGACACTGGAAGTCAGAAAAAATGTTTTATCTTAAGTCATATCCTCGAAAGTGCAGATTAGTGAAAGAATTTGGAAAGCTATAGTAGTGT